ATATTTCGAAGCATTTATTTTCAGTATTTCCATTTCGAAGCATTTTATGACTTTCTTTTCGAAGCATAGGAGTAGAGGTAAGTAATTATTACTTTGATTGTTCACTCAATCATCTTTCTCCGTTCCCCATTCTTCTTTTAATTTTTCTTTTCTTTACACTTGGCAATCTTGAAGTCCTCTTCGTTGAGGCAAAAGAACCGTCAACACAATCGCTTGATAATTGGCTTGAATTTAATCTGTAAGGATTTTTCAATCCTTGCTGGCACGCTCGCATTTATGATATTTTCCTTCGTAGGAAAAATAAGCCAACATTTTAGCCAACATTTTTTGGCACGCCCGGTGGGACGTCAAGTGTAATAAATGGAAAATGAATTGGATTTGTCCATTTCAAATAGTCTAGATGAAATTTATTGGCGTAAACAAGAAATTTTGGATCTTCAAGAAGAGATTCATTTTCTTGATGAAATAAATTTTCATCCCTTACAATATTATTTGGTGGAAGAACAAAGACACCATTTAATTGGAGAAATTCATCAACTTGATATGGAAATTCGCCAATGGAATGATGAGTTATCAACTCTCACTACCAAGTCTTTAACTGAGGCCTTAATGGCCGGAGTTGGTGAATTTTTTCAGAATTTTTCCATGGTTAAAAATAGCAAAAGCAAAGAGTTGATTTCATCAATGGCTCGGGGGGTTCAAGAATCCGTTTTTAAAGAGCCAAATTATGAAATTAACATAACGAAAGAGCATATTTTTAAGCCAAATTTAGCTAAGAATGATGTTCCATGCATGACTCGGGGGGTCCAAAAACCAAATTTTAGATAGTCAAGTCATGAAAATAATATATCTATGGGTGATTTTCATAAGCCATTAATGGCTAACATGGAAAAACAACCCATTTTGCCAAATAATTATGAAAGCCTATTCGGCAAAAGTCATGTTTTTAAAACAAACATGGTCAAGAACAATGAACAAGCCACTGTTCATGAATTCAAAATTTTTGACATTTTTCAAAATGTCAAAAAGTATAAATTTTCATGGTCACACTATACCATGACTTTTGGTGTTCAAAATCCTTTTTGGATTTGTGGTTCACATCAAAATATAATTATGATGATGTGGTTAATAAAATTAACAAATTGTTCTTATAAGTTCGAAGCACTAAGAAATGACCATTTAAAATGCATGAACTTGGCTAGAAAAAGCCTGTGCATTTAAATAAATGGTAAGGGATGACCATTTAAAATGCATGAACTTGGTTAGAAAAAGCCTTTGCATTTAAATAAATGGTTGAGAATGGCTTATCTTTTCAAATTGATGGCCAGTTGTTTGTATGTACACAATCAAAACATCGAAAATACATTCGAAGCATCAAGAGTTGTTTCGAAGGTTGATTACTTCACATTCGAAGCTGTATAAAATATGTAAGTCTCTGTTATATAAATTAATATTTCACTTTTTACAAATTTCATTTTCTGATTTGATTAACCGATTCTTGTGCATTGTAAAGTGTGAACGAACACTGCAATTACTTCAGCTTCGCAGATGATGATGACAACGATATTACCTCCACAGATATAAGAACTGAAGAAATCAATGAGCTAAGGAGAAGGCTTGGTGAGCTTGATAGAAGGCTCGAAAGGATGGAGAAGATTTTCAAGGCAATGACTTATGTTATTGTATTTTGTGTATTTTTTTACTTTATCATGTAAATGAATGTAATGGACATATTTTGGGAAGTGTTTGAATGGATGTAATGGACATATTTGAATGACGTATTCTATTATGTAATGGACATATTTTATAATGGACGTATTTTGTAATCGACATATTTTGTAATGGACGTATTCTATTATGTAATTTGAATGTAGTGTTTGAATAGATCTGTTTTATTATGGATTGAACAACCATAACAGATTGAATGGATAAATTTACTGTTTGAACAACCATAACCTGGACC